GTAGGGGGTTTTGGGGTGGGCGATATCGGATCCACGGCTAGTTTCAGTAGAAAGTCAGGGTAGGAGGGGTTAGATAACAAAAGTATTGCGCTAAGGCATGACGAGAGAGGGCGAAGTCGGGCGAGGGAGGAGGTAGCCCGCTCGTTTCGTGGCGGAAACGCGGATGGGAGGACGTATCTTTCCATGCTCTAGCGGGAGATTCATTCTCATTTCGCGCATCTGGCGCAGGGCAAAACCGGGTGTTGATTTGGGGAGAAGAAGTTGAGAAGCACGTACCTGATCGCATTGTGGTAGAAGATTCACTCCTATTTCGCACGTTTGATGAAGCGAGGCAGCGGAGCACGCTACTACCGCCGTTCTGACAACCCTCAACGCAACTGCTGTTCGCCGTTCTGCCCGTCACGAATGCTTCATGTTCACGTTGATCGTTGCCGCCGTTTTTTTCGCCGCCCGTGACTCATCGCAGAGTTCAGGCGAACCTGGCCAATACTGACGGCCAGGTGCGTTCAGGTATCTGGATGAATATTGCTAGTTGCTGAGATAGGAGCCTGGCGTTGTTCTGCCCAACGAACAGCGAGCGGCTCTGCGCACATGGAAGGGGCACTTGGACATGCGTTCGGCCAATGCTCGTTCGACGGGTTATGCGAACGGAGGAGCGAGGAAGAACACTTACCTGGGCAATACTGCAGCTTGCATGATTGGCACCGATGCGTGCGAGGTGGTGCACGACCGACCTTAGTTGGTGGAGTGATTTGTCGGAGGCTCACCAGGCCTAGACATAGCAGGGGTTGTCGGGGCAGGAGTTTGGTCTTGATTCTGTGGATGGTGGTGCGCGGTCGTCCGTTCTGACACTTACCTGCTCCTGAAGCTGCTCGGCCCGAGCAAAAAGAAGCGAGGGATCAACGSTGAAAAGGGCGRYACTTACWRGSGTATGCGGTGGGGTGGGRYGAACCYGGCGCTATTGCTGACCGGGTACATTGAGACAGAGGGCTCTTTGGTTCGAGATGTTTGTCCTGCCTATAGGCAGTGACGTGAGTGAGGCAAAAGGACTCCCTAGTTCAGCGGATGGTGGGGGATGGTGAGAAGGGTGGAAAGACCAAGTATCACTGATCGTTACCAGCATCTGACCAGGGGGGAAAGAAGCAGCGGGAAGGTAGCCGCAAGGACTGTATGGCCGATGTACAATGTTGTTGGCTGCGGCGAGCGGCTGCGGA